CCTGAGTTCTTCCTCCTGCTGGAGACATGTAGCGTCCACCCTACCATGGACGGTGTCGCCCGCCTCACGAAGTTCATCTTCTCGAATGAGACGACGTAGCGAAGCTTCATCGACCGTGGGTACCTCTCCAGAGGGAGAGCCTCCCGTAGATGATGACCCAGCATCCGTAGATGCCTTGGCCTTCGCCTTCTTCTTCGGCATAGCCTTCTGGCGGACCTCGCATTGGCCCCTGGGTACCTCTCCAGAGGGAGAGCCTCCCGTGGCACCCGAAGAGTCTGCAGCAGCCGATGGAGTTGCCTCCTCAAAGGAGGAGCTTACTCCGGCCGCACGCTGTTTCTCCTCGTGCTTGAGTCCACCCGGGTCCTGCTCATGAGGCGGCCTTCAGTGAAACGTGAGGTACATCGGGGCCGCATCGTGGTAGCACAGCACGACACCGTTGTCGGTCAGGAAGAGGAAGAGGTTGTGACCGTGGTTGAAGAACGTGCCGATGTCGAGCTGTGGGCATAGAAAATGTTGCCCCCGTACCGCACCACCGTGCCAGGCCCCGGAGAGACGGATCCACCTGCATAAACAAAGTGGATAGCCTTCCGGTGACGTTGCCACCCTTGGCGAGTGGCGCGCAGAAGGAGACCATCGCGCTTGATGCTGTCGTAGTTGTGGTTTTCGGAGGCGTGGAAAATAAATCCAAGCTCCGAAGCCTCTGCGCCGTCAGCCTCTCTCCTTGGGCGATATCGGCCACCTGCTCGGGCATGCGCGAGTGTCCCTGGATGGCGGAGATGCCGATTGAGAAATCCCAATCCAAGAAGCGACTGAAAGAGCAAGCCATTGGTGCAATCCCCGTCTGGAATCGGCCCTTGCTGTTCGCCATCAAGGAAGCGAAAAACTTTCGTGGTTCCCAGCGGAAAGGCCTGAGTGACGTGAATTCGTCCAGCTGCTCGATGCTTGCTTCGAGGAATTTCCCAAGCTTCAGCTGCTGGTTGTGGCGCAGCGCGTGGGATAGTGATTTGCTGTTTTTCACTGCCCACCCATTCGGCTGGCCCTTCAGAGCTGTGACCTCCTCCACCGACGCGGCGATCTCGTCCAGCTGCTCCTTGGGCAAGGCACCCAGGCAGCAATTGAGGAACTCGATTTTCCAGCAGAGNNCAGAGATTCCTCTGCAGGAGCCGCGTACCTGGATGGGCATCCTCATAGTTGCGGACGTGATGCAAAAACGCAAGCTGTCCTTCAATGAGGTTGGTAACAGCCGTCTCCCCGAAGGGGAAGTACGCTGAAACCGATTGATGCCCCAGGTAGAGAGGGACGCTCTCTGGCTTCAACTTGATCATCGCTGGCCAGATCGCCTTGGGGTACTTCCGGACCTGAGATCCAGTTAAACAGTACAACTCTAAGCGGTCACGTTGAACCAAAAGGCGCTGCGTCGT